ATATATATATATATATATATATATATATATATATATATATATGCATAATAGAATGCATGATGAATATCTGCCATGCTTTTGGTCCTATATTGTACTTTGAAACATTTTTTACCGTAACTAAATACTAAATACCCTGGAATATTCTAGCATTTTGTTTTAAAACAAGTACATTTTCACTCTTTAATGTCATTAGAAATTCATTCCTAAGACCTAGCTTTTTTCTTTTAGTTATTTTGCTATGCACAGTATTGCCTTACATTGATTGAGTCACTGGAGGGTGACTAATTTCATATTGTCTAGTTCTGAGTTCCAACCGAATTCCATCGACCAATTTTTTTACAATATGACCACCAAGCTTGGCGACTGATCATCGCGATGCACTGAGAGAGAGAGAGATGTTAGTTGGCTGGAGGCAATCCACAGCAAGGCGTGTCGAGAGAAGCAAATGATGTCGTGTGTTAGATTCGAATCTGCGTCATTCAGTGTTGTAGCGAGAGACATTACCACCGAGCTGTTTGTGCCAACAAGAATGAAACCTTGATGTGATCACCTACAATCAACTAACACAGCATTCCTTTAAAGATTATATTTAGTTATTAAAAGAACTTGGCCTCTAAAGTCAGGACTAGGCCACCCGTAGTCTTTAATGTAGGCTCCAGCGTTTTCTTCGTTATCAACTAGTCATTCGTTACTAAGACTCATATTTAACTTACATGTAAGATTACCATTTGCTTCCGCTTAAGAAGTATGTCTGTTAGCCTACTGCATGAATCTATTCTTGATTACTGCTGCTTAAATCTCCCACGAAGCTCAAAGTGACCGAAGGAATTCAGATCTAATCAGATTTACTTGGAGATTTCCAAGAAATCACATGATCATACGTGTTGTTAGTTAGAAACATAAAATCAATAGAGACTACTCTTCTAGAAGGACCTGTTTATACATATATGCCATTGTATTTGTAGATGTTTGGGATGAAGATAGACATATTGTCGTTTTACTGTTTACGTCTGTTTTGATGAAATCGGTCAACTATCAAGAGTAAGTAAGACCTGAAGACTGTTGTTCAAGAGTCATACAAACCACTTTACATCATTTACTGAGTTTCGTTTCGTATGAACTGGACCACATGAGATTTTTTCAGATACTTAATGCATCTTTGATAGTATTATGGAATGAAAATCTCGCTACCATGTGATACACAGCATTACTATTGCATGTATAAAACGGCGAAACAGTAGAGAAGGTTGCTTCGTAATTGAAAAAAAAGATCATATCATTCTGATCAAATTGGTTATAATGGATGATGATGCCACTAGAAAGATGGACAAAATCCACATAGAACCTCGTACTCAAGTGCATTGGTTCAAGTTGCTGCACTTCACTGCAGTATACAAAGAACAGATGGATAGAACAAGAGTAATATCAAAGTTGTGTGAACGAATAAGCAATTTGAAGATAACAATTGGTGAGAATGAGTACTCAAGCTTTAGAAGACACCATTGTGATCGATTTTCAGTCATTTCAATAAGAGACCTTAACTACTGATTCCTATCGTTTTGGGAACCCCAACCAGGCAGTCTACATCTCCTCACACTGCTCAGTGACTTCATGGACTTGTTCCACGTCTTAGTCTGACCGCCTTGAACCTTCTTCCATTAAAGCCTTTGTATTTGTCATTATTTTAGCCTACACTCTGGTCTATGTAGTTTAACAACGTAAGTTTGAAGCTCAGAGAACTTAAGGATGTCACGTAACTCAATCTCAAACTGACTTGTGTTTAATCAGTCAACTAATTCATCTGATATTCTTGATTACTTATAACCTTTTCAACTAGGTAGTGATGTTTCATATTGGTTAATCTCTTCTTTATCCACTGAATGACTTCATAATTTCTTGTAAAATAGTGTGTTATGTGTGACTTTTTTATATTCCAAAAAATTGGTTAGCTCCGTCTTAACTGTTACTTCGAGAGAAAACATTTTCAATCACATTTGATACGCTTATGTTTTCTATGCAAAGTATTGTAATATATTGTAATACTCGTTGGTCCCGATAAGACTTTATCGAAAAATTTGTATTTACTCAAATTTTCGAATTTTTCAATGATATAGTATGTTGATATTCTGTTTAGTTGCGGTCATCAACTAATCAATTGATTTCTGACTTGACCCATCGAATCAAATCCCCCACGATGACCGCTACCAATTATATTCTGTGTATGTTGACTAAACAACAATCCAGTATGAATACAAGTATACAGCTTTATAACAGAGTTGTTGAACGAAAGTATCTCTTCTTGTTCGTGAAGTCTTAAAACAAAATAACCATCCGGAAAACCTATTAAATAGGATAGAAAAAAGTTTACCGAATAAAGATATGGAAAAGCCAAGCCATAAAGATTAGATAAGTACTATAGCACTCCCTTATTGAACATCCACATCAGAGGAAATAAGACGTATCCTTAATAGTTACAACATCAGGGTATTCTTTAAGGTGACGAACACATTACACTCACATCTGTGTAAATAAAAATATCCGATCCGCATTTGGAAGAAAAGAACTGCGTTTATAAGGTGGCAGACTGTAGTGAATGTGATGCCATATATATTGGGAAGACATCATGTCTAGTACTAACATGTCTAGCCGAACACGGTTGAAGTTGCAAGAAACCACCAAAGCATTTCTATGATCTGAAAAACTTGGAATTGGCTCTGCCATCGCGGCTCATGCCTTATATTCGGGTTATAAAATATCAGTCGAAAAGACAGAAGTTCTGCAAAAGGGTTTTCTTTTTCTCACAAAGAGTGGGCCATTACAGAAGCTTTGTACATCTGTTCGCACCCTTCTTCGGTCAACAGAAAAAATGGGTTAGACATACCACTAATATGGCAAACATTAATGACTCGCATAGGCAGTTGTAAATAACACATGAAGAGAAGGTAGGACACAATTCCATTCCACAGGATTTATTCCGAATAGTTCCCGGTGTTATTTCGCTTGATCGTGTTAATCATGTCAAAAAATATTGGTTGTATTTCAACAACTTGTCTAGTCCTATTACACAACACTTTATTGATCTACTATTTTCATCAATTTTACGCTCCTCTCTGAATTATATACATCCTATGAACCATCCTATATATTACGTAATCCATTTTGTCATTATTCATACTTCAACTGTTATCAAAAGTATCTTTATCGTTATTATCATTACTATTACTATACATATTTGGTGTTCAAATATTCATCCTTCCAAACTAGTAATCTATTTTTTCTCACCCTTGTACTTTTCATAGACGAACTCAATTTCCTCACCCTATTTTTGTTCCACCTTACTTGGCACAAATGGAAAAAGTCTCTCTGACTGATTCGCTTATTCACTCACCTGTATTACATTGATCTTTGCTGCATATCACGATGTGATTGGATGATTATAAAGGTCACCACCATCTTCTGTATCAAAACTTGAATATTAACCTGAAAACTTTATTTCAAGTTGTTATCCATCGTAGACTGACATCAGTTGGAGGAACAAAGGGAACCTGGGAGCACTGGACAATTGTTTCGTCCTAGTGTGGGACTCCTCAGCAGTGCGCACCCACGACCCCGCCAGGGATCGAACCCGCGGTCAGCGCGTTACCATTGAGCCACTTGGTCAGAATCTAATGCTCCATATTTCCGACTTCTGTTAGCTCACGATATGGAGCAACCGCCACCCAATTTCATCGTTGAGTAACTGTCCTCACGACCATCAGGCTTTGACTCCACCGGTCATGACTTCTCATTGGAACTTCGGGAATACTTCTCGAAGCTAGTCACCAATGAGGAGCAGTGAGCTAACAGAAGTTGGAAATGTGAAGCATTAGATTCTGACCAAGTGGCTCATTGGTAACGCGCCGGCCGCGGAACCTGAAGGTCGCGGGTTCCATTCCTGGTGGGGTTGTGGGTGCGCACTGCTGAGTCCCATACTAGGACGAAGCAGCTATCCAGTGCTCCCAGGTTTCCTTTGTTCCTCCAACTGAAATATTTCCAAATCTCCACAACTCCCTCAAAATTCAATTGAAAACTTTATGTCAGATTCATACACTTGTAAAGAATCTTTGTAGCAAGATCGGAACGTTGAGGAATAACACAAAATATTTGTTGTTTGTTCTAATATACTACGCCGGGATTACACAAATAAAAATACACCTTATACGATGAGTCTCTTCTCTCCAAAAAACTCTCGTTCCTTTCATCTATAATAATTTTCTTGAAAGTATTTAGAATAATGAACTGCAACAGTAGTTGTGTATTTTAACTGTTCAGTGTTTCGAGTTAGTCGGTGAAAAGTCTAGTTTGACCTAGATTTACTGCTTGTCGGTACTCCTCAGCAAGACATCTCTGTAATCATGAGGAAGCTAGTGTTCTCTTGGGTTGATTCACACTCATCTCTATCGTAATAGACTTTACCACTCAGCCTAGAATAGTTTAGAGATATTGACACACACACACACACACACACACATTGAAATACACTCAACAATCTCATGTGCAGTCGGCAATGAGCCACACCATTTATGTAAGAGCTGCTCACTGACTGATAGTCTTCTCTCGAAATCAATAAATCTCAGCCCTACACATATATACTTTGCTGACGAAATGACACTACACGTGAATTGAACAAGGCTTTCTACCAATTGATTTCCAACATCTAGCATCTTAAATACAGTGCACGTCATTTGAGCTTAATTTTGGCTTCATTGCAAAGTTGATCGATAAACTGTACTCAATGCCTAAGGACTAAATAGTTACACACACACACACACACATGATCACTTTGTGTTTGATCGCGTATATATTTTCATATTGAAAAAAAAAAATTGAACTTCAGTTAAATTAGATGAAGTAGAATTAAATGAGATTTCTTAAAGTGATTGATACTCAATTACATTTGTCATGATAATTCAGTTGTGTTTTTTGATGTTTTATGAATTTTTCTACCAACCTACACCTAGGTTATAGCATATGCTATGAAAGAAAATAATTGGGATTTAGAAACTGCTTTATCCTATGTAAAATCTTGTCGTTCATGTGTTCAACCAAATCCAGGTTTTATGAGAGAATTACGAACATATCAAGGGATTTTAGAGGCAAGGTAAGCATTGTGTTCACCTCCTTTTAACCAATCTATCTATGTATAATGTAAAAGAAATATTTCAAGTTGTTATTCATCGAAGACTGACATCAGTTGGAGGAACAAAGGAAACCTGGGAGCACTGGACAGCTGTTTCGTCCTAGTATGGGACTCCTCAGCAGTACGATCCCTGCTGGTGGGGTCGTGGGTGCGCACTGCTGAGGAGTCCCATACTAGGACGAAACAGCTGTCCAGTGCTCCCAGGTTTCCTTTGTTCCTCCAACTGATGTCAGTCTTCGATGAATAACAACTTGAAGTAAAAGAAATAGTAATGATACTGCTATCCAACTCGATTCAAACGTTAGTTTATCAGGTTATAAACCGTAATTATTGTGTAATGACTATCTGGTTGTCCCCGATCTAAGTAAGTGGAGCAAATTTCTACAACTGGACAAATTGAATAGTTAGAAACCATTCAAGGCTGATCCGTAGTATTTCACCAGTCAGATCAGAGTAACCTAAACACTGTAAGGTCTTTTCAGTTAGTTAAATCCAAATGATCTCAACTAATTCTGCTCTATGAGCTGAATTTGTCCGCATTCACTATTGATGAGCTTGTCAGTAAACAAGTGAAACTGCTGTCCAGTGTTTAGATCATTCTGATGTGACTATGAGATGAGATCTACAGGTTAGCCTGAATGGTTTCTAACTACTTAAGTTGTTCAGTAGTTGTGTCTTTGGCTAGTTCATGACATTTTTAGGTCAGAGATCACACTTCGTCATCTTGACTGAGTGGTTTCCAGCGGAAACTTTATTGATATCACAGTTGGACAGTTGGAAAAACTACACAGCTGTCAGAAATGTCAGTGTGAACCGTGCAGTTTGTAGATCATTTGTAAATTGATCGTCTCAAGTGGATCCACCACTACTTGTTGGTTACTCGTATCCTAAAAACCAGTGAGCTATTACTCCTCCCTTTTTAGGAATTATTTATAAGTGTCTATAGTTATTTCTGTGAAATTGCTGCAGCGAAACTGAAAGTGAAATTTTCAGTGATGTAGTATTACTCTAACCCTGACCACATGGGTCATGGGTTTAAACTTCGCCCCAACCATGTCGATATGAATAATTAAGTGGTGTCATGGCCCCCCAAACAAGAAGTTCGGCTTGTAGTCGAGTACACAGACATCTTTAATGAATTGAAATTACCTTATGTCATTGGGTTCAGCACAACTTCAAAATACTTTGTAATTTGCTGTCATGCCTTGATCTGACCACTTTTAGACTTTTCCCAGTTTAATTCCTACTTTCTTTAAAATATGTATTATGGTGAATATGTTTCAGCCACTTCAGTCGATAAAGTTGTGCAGTCTCATTACCTGACTTGCCTTGTGTACTTAACGGCCTATGAAAAGCTTTCACAGGCTTACGGAACGCTAAGTAGGCTGTGGTAGTCATCCGCTCATACCCTTCTCAAATCCGTCACGTTTAGTAGACATTTTTCACGACCATACAGTAGAACAGAAGGCTCTGCTGTACAATACACTTGATGTTTATTCATTTTTCCACATGTCCCCCCCCATCCCATTTGATCTGTACATTAAATCGGTTGTCATGTGATTGGTCTTTTTTGCTTATCTGTTGAAGTACTTTCATTAAATAGTTTTAAATGGTCAGTCTGAACGTAAGTTTCGGTCAACTAAATATATTTGTTTGGATCAACTTAGGTCTCTTTACCTTGGTAGATGTTAGTTGGATGAAGGCAATCGGCAGTAAATCCTACTTGACCGTGGTTTCGTGCTTGTTGGTACTCTTCAGCAAGGCAATCGCTACAAAACTGATGCCTCGCCACTGAGCTACCCGGACCGCGATTAACCTCCTGTGGGACTGGATTAGGTACATTGATTGGTTTTTTCTATGGTAATCAACTTGATGTTGTTTAGTCCTGATTACTGATCGAATCCAATCGGTCATTTTGCAGATTGGCCACCGGAGTAGGAGACTCACCATCGCGATACACTGTGATAGATGTTAGTTGGATGACGGCAATTGGCAGGATTCCCTGGACCTAGGTTTTGGGCTTGTTGACACTCGTCAGAAAGGCGTATTTTCAACCTCTACGGAACTGATGTCCCGCCTGAAATTCAGACTCGTATCTTGTCACCTTGTTTTTCTCACGGTCATCCTGACATTTGTTGAGTCACTTCTATCTTAACCCATAGATAAGTTTTATTGTCTTTGTTATTTTCTGCAGCGTCAATTAGGAATAATTGCTAGTGTACATCATTTATGAAGTATCACAGTTCAAAAGATACTTTTTTTGTCGTAAACAGAATTCTATGTGTTTCAAGGATTGACTTACATAGAAAACGTTAAAACTCTTTGAATAAAATAAATTGACAGTAACGCACACTTCTCGTCAAACCTCACTACGACCCACCGCTACCTTTTATTCTTGCATCTGATGTTTCAAACTATGGTTGCAAGCCCGGAATTTTGAGGGGGGGGGACGAGTGTAGTGGGCGTTGCTGATAACAACGGATATAAGTAGTATATATCGAGAGGGTGGCAGGAATCATAGGGAATTACCGGCAATGGGTAAGGTTTCTGCCAAGAGCAACGCAGGGGACAATACAGGCGTATTACAGGGGATGCTGCCGATAAGAGTGTATGAAAAGCCGGTCAAGAGCAAATCAAGACAGGAACGGAGAGGTAACGAAGACATTTGCAAATGGCTGCGTTAGTGCAAGGAGTACCATATGTAACCACTACTATTTCAGTTGTCCGTAATAAACATTCCTCGTCGACCCGTTATCTGTTTCTTCAATATCTCATGCTTTCCTAAATTGTTCCAAATAAGCTAGCGCTTATACCTCCCGGTCATTGACATCCACAGAAGACAATTACATTCAGATTGGAAAAGAAGCATTACCTATAATCTTTGCCGTCAGAAATTCCATAAAATGATATATGGACGACGGTCCACCACTCTGAAAGACGAGAAACCCTTATCACCAATTTTGGTCCGAAACGAGTATTGCAGTTTACATCACGAATCGCCTTCCTTGGTGGGCTGCAAAACTGCGGGGTTATGATTTTAACGGTAACAACTCAAAGATAATTTCCGCCAGGTGGATGCTTTCTACCAACTAATCGGTTCTTAACAGTCTACAAAAACGTTATTGTGATTACAACCGTGGGATTTGAAACTGAAGTCCAACAAGTCCTTAAAGGTGGATCACGTGGCTTACCAGGTGACTTGAGAATATCAAAGTGGCACTAGAAAGAGATGAAAATTTAAAGACTAATAAATAGTCCCTCAAGACTAATTAGCTAGCATCTCAACGCACTGAGAATCTTAATACTATCACCATCATGACTCATTGTCTATAATGGATTCATATATTTAATGACAGAAGTGTAGTAGCAAAGAATCTTCACCAGAAAAAACTGAACCAATTGCACAAAAGACAAACATCTAGACGTTAATAGAATGGAATTCGTTGCATGTTGTTCGCATATTGCCCTAGTTTGAATCGAGGAATCGAAACTGACTTATCTGCAAACCTTAACAGCATGTAACCTACCGAAATCTCCCTCATACCCATGTCTGACAACCAAAACTCCATGGTAAAGACTTCATACTGAATAACACTTCACATTTCTACTTGTTCAAATGCTCATATTTCACATCTTTATGTGATATTTTTGTTGTGGGAATTCAGCTATGCATTTCCATGTGTTTTATCAGGAGATAAGTGTAAATAACCAGCTTTATATCAGTTATACACGTCTGGTCGTCTCCTACCTAAAAATGCAGTTTTAAATGTATTAAAGATGGAATAAAGGATCAGAGTTTTGAAACCAGGACATGATACTGACTGATTAAGCTCTTGGGTATTGATGTGCAGTGGTCAAATTTTGTGTGACAACTACACTGGATATCTTGGAAGCTCTGTGTTATATCTCGTAGAACCAATCGCTTTAATATGGATTCATTCAAATTATATCTGTAGTTAAATTATAATAATTTTATCTTAAAAAAATGTATCTATAACCCTCTCTTCTAAGTGGCCTGAATCTGCGTCATCCAATGCTACAGCTGGAGACTTTATCGCTGAACTATTTGAGGCGTAATTGATCGCCTTTTGGATTGATCTGAACTATCGATCTAAACATTCCTGTAGATTGTATGTAATCACCTCAAATCAATCAGTGTACACCACAATATGGCGATTCACCTAGAATTGTTGCTGAATTACAACAAAGCTTGAAGTCATCCAATCCAGTACTTAGGACTAAATAGCAGATAATTATTTACTTTCCAGTTGCCGTTTAGTCTATACAAGACTGCTGAAGACGTTTTGAATTAGTGTAGAGCTAACTTATGAACCCACTTATTCCTCTCAGGTTATATTCTGAAAACTAAAGGACACATTAACTAGTGGAGAAAACTCACATATCTTTTACAAAATCAACTACGATCAGTACTACATTGGACAAAGTGATTGAACTCATCACCTTCGTCTGTGTGAATATCAGCCATTAAACGTCACGACATTTTATCTTTCATATCAATGTATATGCACAATTATGAACATGAATTCTATTTTGAAAGTATGAGAGTCTTGGACAGAGAAAACAGAGAGCACGAACAAATTCTTAAAATCTGAACTTTCAGATCATTCATCAGTCAACATGTTTATAAACAAATCCAATCTCTCTACCAGTAAGAAAAATATTAAGCGATTACAAGGCCAAACATCAAGTGGTAAAACAGCCAATGGAAAGATATGTGCAGTCAATAGCACGACAATCAAAGAAAACTACCGATTCATCAGAGCAGAGTACTTATTGTTATGATTTCGGAAACCCCTATGGCCGCTAACGACGCATGGATATCGACTGTCAGCCACCAACATTCAACAATTGCCTAGTTGATTCTCGACCCGACTAATTAATGGAGAAGATACAATGGACGTGTAGAAAAGTGTATTGGGGTCGAAAGATTAAAGAAAAGAACAAAGAAAAATATATCTGATAGATAGTTCACTGTTTAAAATAATAATATTGATTGGCTGACCCACCGTCTGTCTGTTCGACCGTAGACTTTGATTGGCCCCTCTCTAGACCTGTCTATTCTCTTTGTCTTCATATCACCTCCCTCTTCGAAAGAATGTTATTTGGGGTCAGACTGGATATCATTGTTCTTTTCCTGCACCTATCTGACCGATGCAGAGGGAGTTTCTCCTTGTTTACCTACTGATCGAGAACGAGATCTACGGTGGTATCTGGAGGATGACCTATGTACACGTCATTGTGTGTGTTGTCGCCAAAAGTGTCCTTATTACCCACAGCATTACAGTTCCGACATCGGTGTTGTTTAGGTGGACAAGATTTGACGAAATACCAGCCACCATAATACCAACAAGGCGATGAGGATGTCTTCTTCGAAACTTGGTCGGCATCGCATGAGTTGCTGGGTCGATGATCAGGCGAGATAAGACCAGAAGGTGACGCGGAAGAATGAAATGTTTGGCGTATAGTATGTACTTCAGAACCACCTTGGCATCTAGATTGGGCTAGACTTGTATCACCCTGCAGGTTGCCTAGTCGTTGATATTCTGTAAATATGTCACTCAGCGTCTGCACTGTGGCGTGGAAAGTGCGATCACGGGGGTTTGCGGCGAAATCATGTTGCAGTGTTATTCGAGCTCACGTAGACGCAGCTTTTGAACTAGGAGATGTACCTTCTAGGAATCATCTTGACCAGCAAAAATCAATTTGAAATAGTCTTCGTAACACCTGGACCAAGCACTAAAAGTCGCAATGGTATCAGGATCGTAGTGAAATTCAGTGGTGCTATTGGCGATGCCATCAACTGAAGGGAGGTATTTAAACTGGCATAGTGGGCGGTGATTCAGTACCAGAAATTTTGGATTGCCATAGGATCTCGATAATCGTCATTTGTTGTTCGAGGAATTTGTCCAACTTCGAAGAGTCCGTTTCCAAACATCTTATTTCCGTCGCCACTGCTATGTTTCGGAAACTGATATAGTCGCTAACGGTACACGGATATCGACTGCCAGCCACCAGCGTTCAACAATTTCCTAGTTGATTCCCGACCCGAATAAATAGTGAAGACGCGATGAACGTGTAGAAACCTGTATTGGGGTCGAAAGACTTACTGAATTACTTACAGAGAAATCCTGATAACCCACTACTCATTGAAGTTGGTGCTGATGACGCAACCAAAATGTATACAACAATGATAATTAAAAGTTGCAATGCAAAATACAACTAGAACGTCAACGTTTACTGTCAAATACTACAGATAAGTAGCATAATTACTTCAGATAAGATTTCTGTGTAACGGTGTAGAGTTACTATTCATGTCAAATAACATTCTGTAGTCCCTTGTTTCTGATTGGTCAACTCTTGTCTAATCACAACCACTGTATCCTTTAAGTTCTTTGTGATTGGCTGAAGGCAGTTTGAAAGATCGTATGACAACATTGAGAAGATAAGTGTATTTAGCAAATATTTCCTAATAACTAATCACATCCTTTTAAGAAATCCGCTAAATAGCCATTAGCATTGAAAAGGTGAAAAGCCAAATAAATGGATATTTTCATTTATTTTAAATACAGTCTCTCTTTTATACTTGAAGATTACGTAAATCATGTGTTCACTTAAATTTGAGTCAGCTTATCAACCCCATGGAGATTTATGTATTGAGCTTACAATGTTAGGTGATTGAATGAAATCTGCAGGTAACCCTGTTTGACCTAGGATTTACGCTTGTTGGCACTCGTCATCAAGGCGTTTCTACAATGTTTAGTAAACTGATATGCCCTCGAAGATTTGAAATCCTATCACCAAGTTTTGCAGTCACACACTGAACTACTGAGCTATTCATCCCCCAACTGACGATCCCCTGTAGGGACTGGATTACACACAGAGATTGGACAGACACTGAAGAGCAACCAATTTCATTTTCAGTAATGCAAAAATTCCCATTTAGACATTTAGTAAAACAAACGATATCAGCAAAGAAATATTTCTTTTCAATTAGTTCCTCATCAATGGCTCTACACTAATATAGCATTTTCAAACGTAAAATTACATACCAATCTAGTGGTGAGAGTTGTTCAATGAAAGGTTATCAATCTCAAAGTATCAAGAAGGTGATAATTGATCAGGTAATTAAGACAGTTAACTAAAGCAAAGATTAATTATCGTAGAAAGATTTTGTGAACAGGTTCTTACATAATTGATATTTTGTATAATGATAACTAAAGAGCAAAAATGAACTGTTACGTAAAATGGTAAATTGTTGACGGTAATTAGAGACAGTAGGGGGAGAGAAAGATGGTTAAGTCTGTAATAATAATAATAATAATAATAATGGAGCTATTAAAATATTAGTTATAGTGAATTGTGTGGTGGATGAAATGAAGAGTCTTGTTGTAATAAATGAGCTATACAGATGGCCAAGGCAAAGAAAGAGGCTGTACGAATCTCTTCTGAACACACAGACTTGGCTTGTGTAGGTGGATTCCTATGGCTTCTGCTGTATGTAAAAGACGAACTCGTAGAGGATGGGTGAGGTGAGAAGGAATGTGATAAATAACTTTAAAGGCATTATGAATGTTAACTCGGTGGCCGGTGTCAATCAGATGAGAGAGTATTGAGCTTCGTGTCAGTCTGGTTTCCCCCTTACTTAGCCATGAAGGATGATGCTCGGCGATTCGACGACGGACTTGCCTAACTGTACGTCCAATGTAACTAGCTCCACAGGAGCAGTTGAACTGGTAAATGCACATAGAAGAGGAGAAGTCAGGGAGTCTGTCTTTAGTTCGTGTGGTCATCATCGGCCGGCTGTAGAAAACACAACATAACTTGGCGGCATTAAATGATCTTCTTATGGCATTTCTTAAGCGTTGTGTCACAATTTCGCTGATGATGTCACCTCGAAATTGTAGTCTTAGGAACAATGGTTTCTTGGAGACTGTAGGCATTCTGGTTTTCATATTGGATGTGTTCATATTTTTAGCCAGGAACGTTTCTGGATATCCATTACTACTGAGTAGATCGTGGATAATTTGAAGCTCTTCGTCAAAAGTATCATCTGAACAGATGAGTCTCGCCCGATGGACCAAACATTTAACGAGATTTCGTTTATATTGCAAGGGGACGAAACTCAAGAAGTGGGTGTATTGACCTGTTGACGTTGGTTTCCGATACACACTTCTTTTTATAGTTCCATCCACCTTCCTTGTCAATCGGACATCTAAGAAGGTGATGCTGTCGTCACTTTCTGTTTCAATAGTGAAGGTTATTGCTGGATGGACGCCATTGAATTCATCCAGTATGATCCTTGCATCGTCCTCGTTATTCACAATCAAGAATGTATCATCTACATAACGGCAATAAAATTCTAACCCGCTTATGATGCTTTCCAGAGGGCCATTTTCTAATTTTGCTAAGAAGAAATCCGCTAAGATTGGGCCTAGTGGTGACCCCATAGCGACACCGTCTGACTGTCTATAGAATTCCTTATTGAAGAGAAAGTGTACATTCATTGTACATCGTAAGAGAAGCTCTTTCAAGGTGGATGCCGTAATTCCAATTTCTATGTTTCTCTTTTCCAGTTCGCTACATATGAAGTCCACTGTTTCCATCAGAGGGACATTTGTGAATAGGGATGATACGTCTAAGGATATCATAGACTTATTATTCACATTCAAATCTCTTATTTTATCGGTAAAGTGGAAAGTATAAGTGAAAAACTTGGGCACTGTGGTAGAATGTAGTTCCATATTAGATTTGTTTATTTGATATAAAGCGCACAGTGATGCAGTATTATTTAATTGATCAATTTATCAATTAAATAATACTGTATCACTATGCGCTTTATATCAAATAAACAAATCTAATATGGAAAGTGAAAAGTATCTTTGACGCTATGCTTTACAACCTGCTTATGCAATGGTTTCAAGAGTTGTACTAGCCATTTCGCCGTCGCATGGTATGGAGAGTTTGACATGTCAAGAATCGGTCGGAGTGGTAATCCATTCTTATGCACCTTCGGTAAACCATACAACCTCATTTTGCCTAGTTCCATCGATCAATTTGTAGTTTGGTCACCAAATGACGTCCATGGTTGTTTATCGACTACGTACAACCATCTGACATCAACGAAAGTGTACGATGATACTGAATCTCGTAGTTTGGTGGCGATGTTGTAAAATGGTCGCTAGACATCAATCGGTACTTAGGACTTGATAACATAAAACTGGTGATAAATCAATGTATTAGGCTTATGTTGCTACCCGGTTGCGTATTCAAAAGTGTAGATTGGGCAGGACTGGAACCTGTGACTCACTGCTTGTAATACAGGTGCCGAAACGAATGATCCACACCTCTTCAAGAGGGATAATTGAGAATGTAATAAACTTGCTCAAGGTTTAAAGTTGTATAATGTCATGATTCCATGTTTATTCACTGACTGTATTACACACTGGACACTTTCATTTTTGTATAATATCTGTGTTTTTGTTTGTTTTCTCTTGTATATAGTTCCAATCGACATAAGCCAATATTTCATAGTGATCAGAATAAGTCAAACAAATCATCATCCCCGGGAAATGTTCAGCAAAATAATTGTAATTTTTTCTCTAATGTCTTACCTGGTAATGATCATTATCAAACTGAGGAAGTGGACGAGAAACTTCCCACCATTCAGACAAATATGAAAGATGAAAAGTTTAAAAAAAGTGAAACCAAAACTAATTCACCCGTAAATTCAACTCAGCCATCAAATGCTGCATCATCACCTTTATCAATGTGTAATGATAATGCATTGAATGGTATAAATAACAATGTAGTGAATCGTAATCAAATGCTTGATTTAGAAAAAGAATTGTTTGCATTCAAACGGTTAAATATCCCATCGACTACAGTTACTACTGCTATGACAACAACTACTACTGCTACAGTTACTACCTCTTTAAACTATTCATCGAATCCGATCTCAAATATGGAACAACAACCACAACAGAACAACATTTCCATGACATTATCTCTTTCTGATGATACCATCTCTTCTTTACTGACATCAAGTTTACATCGACCTATAATTCTATGGGGTTTTGATAATAATGAACAAGGCAAAAATTCAGGTTTGTTGATTTTTCTTATAGCAATTATTGTTTTTTTCTTTTTTTTTTACCGCGTTATCTTATTTTTAAAAGTCTTATCAAATATATACAGCTGACAAGACCCAAATAATCCGAAACGCGCATCATAAAATCCACTGATAACTATCAAACAGATTACTCCCCTTTTCGTTTCTCATATGAGGTATCTCATGTTTGAAGGATCTGTTAACCGGAAAGTGTGATCCGACTTGTTTATACCCCGCGAAACATCTTCCCTAGTTTCTTCGATGTTAGCTTTGGCATAGACACTTGATTTACCTTTACACATATTCTTCTGACGAATTATTGTTACATTGTGCTTTGATTCAACTCAGGTGGATATACTACACAGGTATACACCTCTCTGGTTTATTAAAACAGAGATTCAATATTTAAAATAGTTATAGTGGCATTATTGTCCAGTCAGTAGTAATGCTCGAATCCTGTTGATAAAGTTTGTGGTATTATGGTCTAATGTCACATTTTGATGTAATCCTCATTAGCATTGCTTCAACCGAATCCTTCTTCAGTTAGCTTTGTGCATAGAGATGTATGGTAGATGTCAGCATGTGTAACGCGTTTTCATTACTTCAAACAATGAAATTTCACAATCGTATTCCCCCTACTGTAAACCCCTACCCTGTTAATTGTTCATCGGATGTTTCAAGCCTACATAACTGATGTTGTTCCATATCTCTGCTTTTATTGTGGATAAGCCACTGGAATTATTGCTGTCCAGTATTTTCTAGTTAGCGTTGTAATTGATGTTGGTTATGGGAAATGAAGTGAGCTTTTCATGCGTTGATGTTGAGATTTGGTTGATTACGAACACGTTAGGAGTTATACGATTTTCCGAGTCAGTGGAGTAATGAACGAGTTCGACCACTTCTCTCTCTATCGTTATCTGTGGCATCCACACAGACCAGTCTTTAGTGGTTAACTGAGTGTAACCTTTCTTCTGTCTGGTCAGTGGTACGACTGTCCACTGTCTTGTTGAGTTTCCTCATTGAATCCCGTTGCCTTGAGCAGCGATTCCAATCCAGTGAAGAATTCTGTATTTATGAGTCCCTTGTATCATAATTTAGACCTTTTTAAAGTTCTTCCACTCTTGTCAGTCACTTATTTCCTCCGTTTCAGATGCTTTTGAAATTTGTATCTGCTTTTTCCCGAGGACTTTTCTTTGACATTCTTAATACCATCTGCTTGACTTTTCATCTATTGTTAATGCTGTCCAATGGTATGCCGTAAGTATACCTTATAGTTTTCTTGTTAGTTTGTCAATGATAAGTTGGTACTTACGGATCCGATGATGTGCAACTGTAATCATCAGCTGTACCATCTGTCTTCTACTTTGTTCATCTGTTTCCCATCCTATTGGACAGTTAGTTGGCAGTGTATATCTGACATTCTTTAGCAGAATATACCGATACAGACATTCATGAGGAAAAAATGGTTGGAGGTTACATAGAAAGGGCACCTGTTAAATTTTGAATGGACTAAAGAGCATATTGTTTGTTGTACAGGAATTAACCTCGGTGCAGGAAACTTTCTAACCAGTGATGTCTTCAATCGTCTGCTAATATTTCCTGCAATTGAGGCAAATGAATACAGGCTTTTTACTGACTGTAGCTTCCTTCGACTCTTTGTCTTCTGGATATCCATTATCCCGTAAACATCTTTCATTTGTTTGCAACTCTTCCTCTACTTTATCTCTGGAAAATATTCTAACTGTGAAATAAGGTTTCAACTAAGCCACGTTTGTAGGTAATCGGACTAAAGCTATTAAAATTCAAGTAGGTACCATTCCATAAGCTGTTTTGATGAATGGACCTTTAGAGCGTGCGTACCAAAGTCTATATTTGGCTAAGTTTCTATGCTCCACTAGTCTGACTGACACCGACTGACTGATTTGATCTAACTTGGTCAATAGAATCCTTAAACTGACAAAATTTATCTCTGAGTGAATTTATGAGCTTTATTGAGGATCCTATATTAAGTTTTTTAATATCCTTTCTCTATCATGGGAATATTATAGAGGCCTCGAATTCATTTTTAGATGTGTTGCAGTCGTTGCTTACATCACTCGTTTACCTCTTTACCTGCTTCCTTCTAAGTAAATTTAGGTGAATAGTTATTGAGAAGTGAAGCTTCTCTTACATGTTTCATTTCCGTATTGGAATATTTTGATTAACTAGGATAGACTTACAGTTCGATTAATTAAGCATTTAACGGAAACTGCCTTTACTGATGTAATGGGAAATAACCTAAAGTCTGAAATTTTATTAGAACGCGATGCTTTTTAGTAGACATTTATGTCTTAACCATTGTCATACCTTCGTTTTATTTTGTAAATAGTGCTATATTACTGTATGCTATATCAAATAAATTAATCTAAATGGAACTAAACTCTACCACAGTATCCAAATTACATACTTTAACTGAGAAGAACTAGGTCTGCTGCATGGTTTACATTGTCAATTATCCATCAAACATGGATAGTGCCTAGCAGTGGAATCCAGGACGCTCGTTTCATCCTATTGAGACTCGTCAGCTGGATGTGCCTGCCTCCCAGTGAGTGAGTGAGTGAGTGAGTGAGTGAGTGAGTGAGTGAGTGAGTGAGTGAGTGAGTGAGTGAGTGAGTGAGTGAGTGAGTGAGTGAGTGAGTGAGTGAGTGAGTGAGTGAGTGAGTGAGTGAGTGAGTGAGTGAGTGAGTGAGTGAGTGAGTGAGTGAGTGAGTGAGCTTCAGATGCCAGAGCGTTATCCACTAGGCCACCGAGTCATGATAACGATGTCTTGTGAGATGGGTAGAGTTCTTATTACGTTGCTTGTATTATTACCATATTGGTCGGTCTCTATCAAACCTTTTGATCAGAAGTATAATTTTTATTACTGAATACAATGCAGTTGGATTTACAGAGTGTTATACACCATTGTTATATGATCTACCTAAAGTTCATAAACCGCGACTTTGTCTGATTTTAGTTAGATATGTCCAATTCTCCTTATCATAAAGTCATGAAGCAGTTAATCAGGTTTCTTATAACCCCTACACAAACAAGTTGTAAAGAATAGTCTTCAAGATGTATTCGACTCTGTCTCCAAGTTGGAAAAGGCAAATCTAAATGGGAAATATATTATGTCTTTAGATGTTTCGACTGTGTTCACCAATATAATATCAGTAGAATTCATTTTTCAACAAATGTCACAAGCATAGACTAATCTTGTACTTCCATAAGTTAGTCTCAAACAATTACTTCTACGATACACCATAAATGTGTATTTCTCTTTTTTTTTGGATAAAATTGATGGAATTGCTATAAATTCACCTTTAAGGGCCCAATATCAGTTGATTTTTCGCTTGATAAACTTGTAAATGTATCACTAAAAGTCTGGATATGTTTAAACGTTATACTGACAACATATTCATTATCCTTGATCAAAACGTGGAACATGAAAATATGTTACATTTTTGTAAATATTCTATTGATGACAAGAAATGATGAATCACTCAGTAGTAGAAAGGTTTACAGAAAGATCACATCTGAAGGTCAATACATACATTTCCTTCACTTTATTCCTATTTCGTATAAAAGAAGCTTAGTGAAATGTCTTGCATCTAGAGCTAGATAGATTTAATACAAAAGGAGATGGAATACATTCTTTGTATGCTGGTAGAAATGAATTAGCCCTATATCTATTATGAGGAGATACATGGATAAAGTGAGTTAGAAAACTGATCAAATGACTGTTCAAGCGAAACCAATATTCAACTTAAAGAGGACGGCACCTATTCAAGAGGCCTGCCTAGAGTCATCAGTAGAACTCTCCATACTGCTAACTTTTGCTTAACATTTTCTAGTCGAACAATCATTGTTGCACACATAAAAGACAAACTGCCAACTTTCGTCACTCTTATGTAAATTTATCAATTTAGCTGATCCTGTAGAGAAAGCTGTATCAGGCTTACCACTAGACAGGCAGGTTAACAAACATGTTACTGAATACCTAAGAAGTTCATTTGTTGTATTTGATCGATAGTCATCATGTAATAGTTGAGGCCAAAGTGTTAAAAATCATTTGTCGAACTCCACGAAGTCTTTTGAATGGACTTCGTATTTCGCGTATTACATATAGCTGAGGCTATGGGAATCAGAGTAAATAACCCTAGTCTATGTTCTGAAATGTTTAGGCAACCTTTGTCTCTCTACCTTGGTCAGAGAAAACGTAGTCGACAATTTCAAACATAAATTTAGTTTTTTATTCCTTTTTATTCACCCCTTTCATATACATGTCTTATTTGGTTAAATATAGATTATCTACTCCGTTCTTTAGTATTAATACCGAAAAATCCAGGCCTTGATAGGATTCGAACCAAAAACCTCCTAGTTAGCGACTGGGTGTTCTACTAACTGAGCTATGAGACTCAACTCTTAACCAGATCCTAATTTCATTTCAATCACCAAGGATTTTGGCCGATTGCCATGTGAATTTATGATGCGCTACTTTTGTTTGACTGTGTTCACACTAACTGTCCAACCAGGACTTCTCACCTTAATCCAAATCTCCTTGAATCGGTGAGGACAATTGTTATATTGATTATCAGTTTAATTATCTAAGATAGCTATGGTTTGGCAGACTTGTTTTATTGATACTGAGTGAGAATTGTAGATGAAGTAGAAAATCAGGGCAGAAGTAGACCTCGAACCAGCAACCCGACCTGATGTTACGCAACCTTAATTTTTTCTCAGTTTTGACCTACATTGATTGTTTAAATGTCTTCAGTGCCACGCTGATCGCATTATTTTTATCATCACTGAGATTATTATTATTGTCTGGATATTTACTATTTGCATACTTCATTTCCATATTACCACGGCCTAAAGAATTCAGCATCGATTGGTTCACTGTTTTATATACAATAGAATCTGTGTATATTAGAATAAAGCTTGATGAGAGCTAATTGAAAACAATATTGTTCGCTTACATATATATATATTCTTCCAATTTGGATAATGGGGATTTTTTTTAACCTTGTCGAAAATTTTTTTCGGTCTTAAAACCCTCATGATTATTATACTATACATTCAACTTTGTGAATGTTACTTTCGGTTTTACAATTTTCTCTTCTCTCCCTCTTTCTCTCTTCTTCTGTGTCTTTACATATTTATATACAGGTATTGTCAATAGTGCAGTTGTAGCGAAAATTCTCATTGTCTTCGTCAATGGCATCCAGATGTACTTGAGAATATTCATTGTTTAGATACACACTCAGTTTTCAGTAATTGTAAAGCACAAAAGCATACATTATCACTGTCATCATCACCGTCATCAACAACATCATCATTAGGAGTAGCAGTAGCGCCTGATCTGTCTCCACCTATTTCACCTATCACGCCTACTGGACCTCAACATCAACAGCCCAATACTCATCAGTTGAATTATGCTGACCATCAGTCAATGACATCGATAGCTTGGGATTATACAAGTGAATTAAAATGTTTACCCGTACTGGAATATGCAAAATTATCTATTATCCCTTGTGAACTGATCAACATTCCACTAGTGACATCTGTATCAATTTTGCATGCAACAAGTATGCGTAAAAAGGAAATAGATAAATTATTAGTTGAATTAAATGAGAACAATGATGAAAACACAAAAGAAATTCATACACTAGAAGGCATCAATACTGAACACACAAAAGTATCTAATGTATTGCGTATGGTGTCTAAATTATCTGGTAAGTATAACCACAACTACTAATCCTCTTATGCTACTGGTTGTTACTTTTTGAATAGTGGAACTATGACTCCATTAGTTTAAGGAGATGACTTTCAACTGGTCAGTCACTGGTCTAGCTCTGCTCCACCTAACAAGGTTTGGACAGTCAGCTAGTAGTATGACTAGTCTTCATACAATAGGTGTGACTCCATTGCCTACTGCACGGATGCGCACAAGGTCCGATCCAACTTTCTGAATGCAATTCAGTAACTATCTGCTCAGGTTTTCAAATTAGGCAATTAGTCGCATCTACTGCGTGACGACCGCTCTAGCCTTGATAGTTAAACCCCGGATTCGAACTGTCTATATCAGTGAAATACGGTTATCTTTCTTACTCTTTGCCTCTGACTTAAAGCATTGAGATTCGAAGAAGTACTTCAGTGATCTATCATCTAATTCGAAGGTTTATAGGGATTTATCTTTATATCTGAATTGTATAAATTTGAACGCGTGTACAAATACCTTCAAATTCCACCTTCAATTGGTCACTCAGTTTCTTCGTAAATAGAAAGGGTATTGTAATAGGACGAAAGGTGTATTTACAACGTTAACGTCTACATTGTATACAAAATACAACGTCTATATATATATTACAATGGCCTTGGCTATTTCCATCTCTTCAAGCAACCTGATTCACACGTTAGTTCATGTGTTTTTTCCCAGACTTGGAAGCAATTGGTTGGAAAAGACTTCAAGCATATGCGGCTTATAAAGTTTGTGTCAATCTTTCTGCACACTATATCACTTATTGATTTCAAATTGATATTCATCATGGATTGACACCAGTTGAGGAAATATTAGAAACCTGGGAGTATTGGGCAGCTGTTTCGTCCTAGTGTTAAACTCCTCAGCAGTGCACACTTTGAAGGTCATGGATTCGCTCATCGCCCTACCCACTGCTGAGAAGTCCTATACTAGGACGAGACGGCTATCTAATACTCCCAGGTTTCTAGTCTTTCTCTAACTGATATCAGTTCATGATGAGTATCGACCGGAGATCTATCCTATCATCATCATCATTTTATAATTTTTCTTCCTATTTTTCAAGCTTTATTCTGAGTCTTGTTCCAATATAGTTGTGGAATTCATTTGTTTATTTAATCGTTCTCTATGAGCCTCAGAATTAGTTATTATCATGTGTGTGTGTGTGTATTTCATTCAAATCTATTCACGTTTAATTAAAATGAAATAAAACAAAGTATAACTGTATTGAATCTTAATTAAGTCATTTTAACCAACTATATCCTAGTTGTTAGACTATTGTATAGTTGATTCAATAAAATTCAATCCTATTCATTTTAATATTGTTTGACCATTTAAAATAAAAATGAAGTAAACGAAAAAGTTGTTAAAATGTCTTAACTTAGACTGTAAATCATATACATATGTATAGAATTACCTATCTACTATACAATAGGGTGAAATATCAAACAAATACTCTGATAAAACTGATTTGACTTTTTCAATATCATCAATGAACTAAATTCAATTTAGTGCTTATCACTGATTGAAGTTCATCAATTAATTATTCAATCTGTTAACTATGTTAAGTGATACACTACTGTGCAAGTTGAAATTATCTAGTGAACACCAGTTTACTCATACTTCCAAATATATTTTGATGATAAATGCCAATAAACATTAAACTTTGATTGATTCTTAACAAGGTGTAGAAGAAAGGAAAGGTACCTGCAGATTGGAAAAAGGAAGACTTAAGTCTTTTCAAGAACTGGCGAGGAATCATGCTCTTGTCCCTGTCCGCATTATCCTAGAGAGACTAAACAATCCACTGGATTCAAATTTACGATCGAAACGGACTAGCTGGATTCAAGAAGTACAAATCATGTGCGGACTAAATTGTAACACTATACTACGCATCATCATACAACAGAGTATAGAATGACAGTCAACTCGTCTATCTCAACTTCATCGACTTTGAAAAGGCTAGTGTCGATAGCGCTGAGAGGTAATTTGGCAGGCAGCTGCTTCAACACTACGGTTTTAGTGACACAAACCCTTATCAACCTCATTCAACAGCTTTATGCTATATGATGAGGCTACATGCCAAGTGATTCACCATGGAAATCTCAATGATGCCTTTGAAGGTAAGACAGGGGAGAGGAGTAAGACAAGGTTGACACCTACTATCACCGATGATGTTCCTGACTGTGATCGGCTGGATCATGCAAAATACTGTGAGGAGCAGTGGGAAGGTGGTCATACGCTGTTTGACCAACGAAATGACCCGACACGATTTTGATTTCGCCAACGATGGTGATTTATGTCTGATATCTTGTCACACTAACTCGAAGATCTACAGGGAAAAGCCAACAACTTGACGGAAGAGGCAAGGCAGCGAAGACAGGACTTCAAGTGAACGTAGAGAAGATACGTGATGAAGATACCCAACCAACAACATCAACTACAACAAGCACTAATCACCATCAACAGGGGGACCTAAAGGAAGTAGTCTCTCACCTACCTAGGCAAGTCAGCACCGTTTCAACTACAGATGGCACAGATGAGGATGTCAAAGTCAGGGTTGGATACACAACAAGACAGGTCTTGATTAATTTGAAATCAGTGTGGAGATGTACTGCACTCAGCATAAAGTGTGAACAAGATCCGGATTTTCAACACTAATGTCAGTCAAGTGAGTCAGTGCTTCTATGTGGTTCAGCTAGTTGGCGCGTCATGAAAAGTATTTGCAACAAACTACAGATATACAGCATCAACAGCTGCGAACGCTGGCTTGATAGTCACTATCAGATGGATGGCCAGAAAGAATAAGGAACAAGGAACTGGAACTGTGGCAGGCTGGCAAGGAATCAACCAAGAACGTATCACGCAACGTGTGTGCAGGGGGAAGTGGAGATGAATTGGACTGGGTGTACACTGAGAAGACGGATTGGGGACATGAGGCGCCAGGTGATGCCCTCGAGTGGAACCCAGATGGGAAACGATGAGTTGGGCGTCTGTTGTGAGGGTGACATGGAGGAGGTTGTGTGAGGAAGAAATGAAAGGTTGTGAGAAGTGTTCGAGCCAGGTCCAAAGGGCTGTAGAGAACAGATTGAAATGGAGACGTTCTACTGAAGCCCTATGTTCTACTAGGAACTCAAGGGACAAATAATAATGATAATAGCGTTTATAATTTTAGAATCTTTACTTAATTAACGGCTCAGATATTATCTATCTGATTAGCTAACTTTCTACATGTTTTTAGTTCAAGGTTGATCTCATACTCTCCTCAAGGTCACTTCAAGTTTTGTCTCGGGAATCGACTCTTATTATTTCTTGCTATTTAGAGCTGTAACCAGCAATAAATATTCTACTTAGAACTCCGCTCACAGGTGTGTACGTTCAACTTGCCACACTTCAAAGTAGGATGGAGAAAACAGGTGAATAGAAAAAGAGTGATCTAAAGTAGGGAAAAGAGTATGTGACTGGAAACAAATATTCAGGCTTTAGATATCAAAGAGTGAATATATCTATGGCACTGTGTCCGATTTTCAGCCATGTTGCTAGACCACTGATTTCTATTGTCTTGGGGACGCCAATCAGGTAGTTTACATCTTCCCATACGACTCAAACCAACAGTCAGCGAATTCATGCACTGGCATCACATCTTGGTCTGATCTCTCTGAACTCTCTTCCAGTTTAGTCGAACCTCCTCTAGTACGGCATCTCGAGGCAGGCGGTGACTCGGCATGTGCAGTATATGTCTAAACCATCCCAATCGACTAAGGTTCACAACCACATCAGTTGACGTGCTTGTCTTGCCCAGTACGCTTTACCTGGTCTCAACATTGCTCACATGGTGATTCCACCAGACGCGAGCAATGCTAAGATGACACCCATGATCAAATTCTGTAGCCGCTTCATGTCTTCTTCTCTCGGCGGTCATGTCTCACAGCCATATAACAGGACAGAACGCACTGCAGCGCAATGCCCTCGTCATTTGATAGATAGTCGGATATCACGCCAGTCGGCATTACAGGTGACACAAGTTGGAAAATGCCAAACCGGCTTTCTGTATCGTCAACACCTAACCCGTACGAGCTGATGCAACTCCCAAAGTAAGTGAATTTGTCGACACATTTCACCACTACTCCCCCTACTGCTAATTAGGACACCAACTCAGATCAGCCTTACAGTGACAATTTTCATTGATGTCGCAAGAAACGCACATCAAATATTCTCAAACTGTCACTCACTTTTTCCAGAATACTCTGTATCTCGCTTGCATATCCACCTAAAAGTACTGTTTTGTTTGTACTGGGTGATAACTAAGGAATCTTCTGTGATGAGGTCGATTCCTGTTAAGCCAGCTGAGGATATCGAGACATCTATCGGGATCTCTACCAAAAGGTTAGGTAAAAATGGAGGAGAGTGAACGTCACTGTATGGCACCACTGAAAGTAGACACATTAGAGGATAGCTTACGGCACACTCTTACCCGATCACGAGTTTTGATTGCTGCTAACTTAATATATAGGTTGAGTTTGCATATGCCAATGATCTCATGAGCCATTGGGGTGAAAAAATTTGTCCTTTGAGATCTCGCCATGTAGTTTCCTAGGGTAAAGTCTTACTAACTGACTGGGTGGATTGTGACATCAGTTAAATGTTTCTGGTGAATGACCAGCAGTACGTTGTTCATTCTTCCTCGCGTAAAGAGGGAATATATAAGGTTGGTCTCAAGCATAGCACAATTGTGCGTGCCTGCTATTGCCGTTTACGATTTTTCTGGATGAATTTAGGACAAGGCTAAACCTCTGATTTCCAAAAGGACCATGTTTAACCAGCTTCAAGCAGATACCCTTCGAACTCTTCGGTTCGGGTACTACAAGAAATAAACTTTGACGATGTGGGCAGCGTGGGAGTTTCAGATGCCATCACTACTGTGTCACCGTTTAGCTTCCTGCAAATCATCATCAATCCTTCCTATTGTTGCCTTCGAATCTTTCTTCAAATCGCTCTGTTGACAATCCTATGTCATTTTTTGTCTTGCAGCTCTGTGGCTCTTGTCAACAACTTGATTTCATGTCAATTCGTCACTTCTCTCCTGCAACAACCTTCCTAACAACATATTAAAGCTTTCAATGTCCACACCCTCAATCAAATTAGATGATGGGTTCCGGTAGCCGAAACTCTTGTGTGTTGTATTTGTGAGATACACAAACAAACCCCAAACCTGATTATTCACTTAACCTCACCCAGCCGGTACAGTGAACCCGCAAATTTCACCTTTTTTGTTTCTACAGATTCAGTGGCTAGTTCCCGTGGTCTTGCAGGTGCAAGTCCACTGCTCTACTGCATCCCATTTGACAGTCTTCTGTGTGCTGTTCGACTGAACAGCCCAGTGAGGAGTAAAAAGACTAGTGCAACTCGCCATTTTTTAAAATCTATGCTGACTCATCCACGGACTGCAGCTTCGATGAATTAATGGAAGAGTTATGTCAAAGACTATCTAACCTACTACTGAAACCCAAGCGTTCAGATACACTTATCGTTGCAGATGATTTCAATTAAAAAAATTGTTAGGCTAAGTTAGACAAAGATGCACTTAAGTGGAACTTTTGGAAATCTGTCGGAAGGGACGGATAGTGGTGATCAACTGCTACAATTGTGCTCAGATAACTGATATCCGCCGACCTCAACTCAACGATGGATGCAGAAATCGGAATAATGTACAATGATTGGCTTCATTTAACTTGCAGTTATTTTGCAACTGTTAATTGTATGGAATTCCATGAGAAGTCGGTAAAAAAAACTCTTGAGTTAAGCTTTACGATAAAACTATACAATAAGTTGTAGGTAGAATGATGCCTAATACAATTAAAAAATAATATGGTCAATAATGCTGCTGTTGGAGATTATTGATAACATAACTCACAATCTATCTCAGTGATGCGCAGATACATCGATTGTGTTGGTTGTCTGCTAAAACTGTATATAAACAATCACCTATATCTAACTGGTGTCTACTCTAGACACTAAACGATACACTGTTTGATGTGATAACCATGAAATACACTACTGAAAATATGCGTAGTTATAAACCAATCATCCTGATCTTGCAGATCGAAGTGATCTAAACTTCTGACGGTTATTTCACTTACCTGGTGTTGGGCTCATCAGCGGTGTGGCGTAACAAATTTAGCCTGAGCAGCCGACAATTCTGTTGAGACCAACGAAATCCGGTTGGCTGACTTGAATCAACTGGTATACCCTAAATTGGATGATCATTTTTTTAAATAATTTACAAATTGTTCGGTTCACGTTGACATTTCTTATAGATGAGTAGTTTTTCAACTATAGTGTTGAACAGGAGTTCTCGTTAGAAGCCATCTAAGTAAAATTAAACCTTATGATCTTGCCTGAACTATTAAACACCTGAATATTCATTCTGTTCAGTAGCTTGTTTGTTAGTTTGTGACACTTTTGTGTCAAAAATCGCACTTTGTAATCTTGCCTGAGTGATTTGTAGCGAAATTCTTGTTCACATCACAGTTGGACAGTTGAAGAACTTATTTGTGGAAAATGTTAAGCTAGGCCATACAATTTGTAAATTATTTTACAAATTAATCATTCATTTGGTTGTAGTCACCAACTTCAACTCAACAGTAGACATCGTTATCATTTACCACTGTAGAAGGTTGGTAGATATCAAGTTGGATATTTCGTACTTTAACAGTTTGTAGTAAGATGTGAAGTTCATTACTCAGGTTTCTCGTATTTGGAACTCATTGACTTACGTTTATCGCCATTCAACTGAGTACTCATGTTCTTACATCAACTATTCTTTCAAATACCAGAAGAGAAAAGATGGTGGTGGTCAGTCCATTAATTCGTTAACTTTTTTATCTCAATCATACAAGGTGGTATACACTGCTTGACTGTAATCGCATGCATGGTATCCCTTAGATGTTATTATGCTTACGTAAATATGATGTCATTTTTATCAATTATAGAATAATATTGTATACAACTTGCTCATATTTTTTCTTCTCATCTTCTGTCGAATATTCGTTCTATCACTGTATAAAATAGTTAACCTTTGAGTAGTCTTAATAACTTCAACAGTCAACTTTAATTGTTGTTACCTTCCGTCTCAATTAGATAAAAATTTGAATTTTCGAATTATTAAAGTACGTTCTATAACATATTATTCTTTATAAACATTATATTCTATTGGTAGTAAAGCAGCTGAGGAGAATCTACGAAACATACACGATAATTCTGCTTGCTTGATTCAAATTCATGAAAGGGAAGAATTGTTTGCATAAAGTGACAAGATTGTTAATTGGTTACAAATCGCTGGAATTCATCCACTTTTTTTTTCTAGCATTTTAGAAGTATTGAATATTTTCAATATCCTTCAGGTATTACTATTCTTTCTTCTCAGACACTTTCCTACCTGAATATCACTTTCTTTCTTTTTTCTGCCAACTTCTTCTTAGTATGCTGCTGTGATATGTGGCATTTTGATACCACGTTCTACGTTGATGTGGCTATGTGTCTAAAAATAAGATAAGAGGTGATAGGTTACATTTTTAAAAATATATATTGGGCAGTTACTAAAGGTGAAGTGAAGGTTTTGAACGAACGATCTAGGTGTTACCAGATCGATACTGCAAACATTGTTGAATTCCTATCGAATTACTTAATTATGAAGCTTTCTTTTCACTTTATCTGTTTATTAAAACTGTCATACATTGAAAAAGTATCATTTACTGAACAATGTTTCAGATATAATTTATTGTCCATACTTATTCTTTCATCCGAAGATACTGTTCTCTTTATTCTGATAATAGATAATGTCCAGCAATGGAATCTAATGTATGCGTTTCCTCTTACTTGGAACTGGTTAGTTGAATGTACTTGGCTACCAGTGAATGATTTTGTTCCCACCAAAACTCCGACCTAACACCATCACTTCAAACGACGGAGTTTTATCCACTAGGCTATTGAGTCATGACAAATATTCTTTGTATATCCTGGATTCCACTGGTAGCCAATATTCATTATTAGTATGAAACCTAACTTATCTAACATATGAGCTTATATGACAATAGTAGCCAATAAATTCAGTCTAACCAACGATAAGAATCTACAATAAATAATGTTTACTTGATCATTTTTATTTCTCCTTAGATTCGAATTTATTCATTACCTCATTGAGCCAGAATGCCAAAGAAAAAGTTTCATCAGCATCTGAATCATCATCATCATCATTTTTGCCTTTATTGAGGCGGAAACAAAAGGAATCCAATGATTCTTTTAACATTTGTCTTCCTAATACTACTGTTAGCAGTAGTAGTAGTAGTGGTAGTAGAGATGACAGCAGTAGTGATCTGCCTACATGTTTGACTACTTCATCGCATCTTCCACGTATGATACTTACAAATTCAACTGTTGTAGATACACATGAATGTATGAATTCGGATAATGGAATTGTTAGTGAAACTACAGAGGATAGCATAAATTCATGGAAACGAAATCATACTACTCCTTTGATGAATATGAAAATGAGGCATATTGAACAAAGAAAATCCACATATGCTGACTTACTTATGATGACAAATAATCAGAATACAACAACTAATACTGTAATTCTACCAGAACGTTCACATTCAACGCGATCATCATATCGTATATCATCAACACGTCTTCGGCCTGATGATAGTTGGATTATGAACTTTACTGATTGTACAAATGAAAATGTTCTCTCAACCTCTATGATTACTGCTACAGACACTAGTACTGCAACTACTGCGACGACAATGATGATGGAAATGACAACTTCCTCCGCTTCAACATCAATGTTCTTATCATCTTCGTGTAGCAAAATAACTACTCTTCATACTTCCCCCTCTTCACTTTCTCCGCCTACATCTAATCATCAGTCAGTTTTATCCTCCAGTATTACCTCCAATCCTTCTAACATTAACAGTACAGAATCTCAAATAAAGGTGAACAATAGTGAAAAGCTAAAAACTCGATCAAAATCACGTGATCGAATGATTTGTAAAAGTGCTTATGGCCAGCTAGAGTCGCCATCGAATTCCCTGCTTCTCAATAAACCTATAGGTACAACGATAAAAACAGCAAACCTACAGTTATGCCTATCAGTAATAATGACATCGATGGTGGTGGTGGTCTGTTCACCAGAAATTCATCTAGTCCTACACTATTAATGCTGAATTCAGGTGAGTGATATAGAAATGTAATACTGCAAATAAGCAATAGTTCTCCATCAATGAAAGTTTACTATTAGGAGGATATCACTTTTTAGTAGCTGAATATAAAATAAATATCGCAGAAATATTTACTTACTGATAGCATACATACTACTTTTTATAACTTTCACTTTGATACTGTAAAATTTCATCTACTGATGGGAATTTTAGCAATCTCGATAGACAGATAAGTAGACAGACAGATAGATAGACAGACTAACAGTCGAATTCTTCTTTTTCCGGACACTATTAACCTACTTCCAACGCAGTCCTATCTCTGCTTACATTACACATAAAGGTAGTCGACTGTTTAACATATGTAACATAATATTGAAACCACTCTAGTTGATGGAGGTTTACAACTTCATCAACTACTATGATTTCACTGCCTAGTATTCCCTAGCCTAACTATCACACTTTGGATGTTACACACTGTTATTTCTACTCCTGTGTGTTGATATAGTCTATCCGCTTTAATATCTGTTCCGTGAGATTGTTACAAGTAGGCATTGAATCTCTGAATAAGATTATTAAAAACAGTAACTGTTGAAAACACCTTACAAATAAATTTAAAAAATTTTGAGGGAGTTGCGGAGATTTGGAATTGTTTCAAGTTGTTATCGTAGACTGATATCAGTTGGAGGAACAAAGGAAACCTGGGAGCACTGGACAGCTGTTTCGTCCTAGTATGGGACTCCTCAGCAGTGCGCACCCACGACCCCACCAGCAGGAGCATTGGATTCTGACCCAGTGGCTCAATGGTAACGCGCTGGTCGCGGAACCTGAAGGTCGCGGGTTCGATCCCTGCTAGTGGGGTCGTGGGTGCGCACTGCTGAGGAGTCCCATACTAGGACGAAACAGCTGTCCAGTGCTCCCAGGTTTCCTTTGTTCCTCCAACTGATGTCAGTCTACGATAACAACTTGAAATAAAAAAAAGACAATACAACTCAATGCAAACATCCACACACACAGATAGACAAACAAAACATTTCTCTATTCTATGCAAGAAAGAAAACATCTTGTTTTTTTTCATATCAATTTAACCTAGTACACAATTTCTTTTTTAAATGTTTGGTTTAGTCTGTTAATAAAACAAAGACATGAAGTGGAATTGAACAAAACAATAAGTAAGTGATTAGATGAAAATTAGCAGAGAGTCAGATACAATCCTCCAATGATTTAAATTATCCTTATTAGGATTGAAAAAGTAGAACACCGTTCAATTGGTTCAACTATTCTCTGACTATTACTATTTGCTGATATACTTGTAAATCTCCATTGTTTTATTAGTTTATTCCTCCATGGCATAGTGGATAATGCCTTGGCATTTGTACTGATGGGTACGAGGTTCGAGTCTCAGTAGAAACAACATCATTCACTGAGGTGGAGGTACATCCAACTGATGAGTCGCAAATAGGACGAAACGTGCATCCTGGATTCCTCTGATTGTTACAACCAACTGAATTACTATTCTCTGACTGTTTTTGGTCTGTTTCTACTAAATGCAGCTTTCAAAGTAAATTCTAGGTATTTTCTTCAACTGGCTAATAATTCAATATGAAAATACGACCTATCGTTACTGTGTAACATTTAAAGTTGTCGCATCTCATATCAATGATGAAACACTGGAAACTAGCCGTAGAATGTAATCAAAAGTTATAAGATGATAGGCAGAGATTAAAATGCAAGGATGGGGAAGGTTTATTTTAGTCAAAAATGACTTCATCCTTGACACTGATGTCAGACTAGTTGGTAGTTATTAGCTGCTCATATCGTGGAAAGTTAGGTTTTCCTTGAGGTATCCGAAAACACAGGTGGAATAACAAGGTTGGACAATATTTGTAGATCAGGCGAATAATCTTGGTTGTGTTGTGTCCTCTGAACTGTGTGGTTTAATCGTGAAACTTTCATTGTCTTTCTAAATAACATTTATCAACACTCACTTCATACTGAAGTGAGCTATCAGGATTAAATTTAATGCCAAACTGGAGCGAACAACACAGGAAGAGAACCAATCATGGGTCGAGAAGCACTCGGTGAGATGAATGAGAACGGATTTCTGCGTATTCAACGATTTGGTGATTGGAGGCAGTGTGTACAAACATTAGGATATTCACAAAGCGACATGGATTTGATGTCACCAGACGGACACTAAAAATTAGATCGACTTCATCTCAGTCTGAAGAATGTGGAGACGCAGCCTACTGGACACAAGATCAACAAGGGGAGCAGATGTAGGTTCAAACTACTCACTATCTAGTGCAATGAACCTGCTGGCAGAAGAGGCAAGGCAGCGAAGACAGGACTTCAAGTGAACGTAGAGAAGATACGTGATGAAGATGCCAAACCTACCCCACCAACAACAACAACAAGCTCAAATCACCATCAGTGGGAGAAACTTAAAGGAAGTAGTCTCTCACCTACCTAGGCAAGTCAGCACCGTTTCAACTACAGGTGACACAGATGAGGATGTCAAAGTCAGGGTTGGATACACAACAAGACAGGTCTTGATTAATTTGAAATCAGTGTGGAGATGTACTGCACTCAGCATAAAGTGTGAACAAGATCCGGATTTTCAACACTAATGTCAGTCAAGTGAGTCAGTGCTTCTATGTGGTTCAGCTAGTTGGCGCGTCATGAAAAGTATTTGCAACAAACTACAGATATACAGCATCAACAGCTGCGAACGCTGGCTTGATAGTCACTATCAGATGGATGGCCAGAAAGAATAAGGAACAAGGAACTGGAACTGTGGCAGGCTGGCAAGGAATCAACCAAGAACGTATCACGCAACGTGTGTGCAGGGGGAAGTGGAGATGAATTGGACTGGGTGTACACTGAGAAGACGGATTGGGGACATGAGGCGCCAGGTGATGCCCTCGAGTGGAACCCAGATGGGAAACGACGAGTTGGGCGTCTGTTGTGAGGGTGACATGGAGGAGGTTGTGTGAGGAAGAAATGAAAGGTTGTGAGAAGTGTTGGAGCCAGGTTCAAAGGACTGTAGAGAATAGATTGAAATGGCAACGTTCTACTGAAATCCTATGTTCCACTAGGAACTCAAGGGACAAATAATAGTAATGATCAGGATTCAGTCGCTCACTCTGACAGACTGGTTGTTTGTTTTAATTGTTGTGTCACTGACTCCATAGATTTTCTTGCTGACGGTTTCTCTGTTTGACGCCTGATCTTGTGGTTGTTTATGATTTTGCTTATTGGTTAATAGATTCTATCTATGTCTACGGGTGGCATACCTACTGATAGCTGACTGACCTGAATGTCTAGCTTGTAGGAATTCTCTGATATTTCTGACATAGGCATAGACCCAATGACATCGGTTCTAAGCCATATCAGCTAGAGTCTCTAACCGTTGGTTTCTCTTGTCCCGTGGACTACTACTGGCTAGTATTCGGCATCACCCTACATGGCTCAAACGAATAGTTAAGGACTTCATACACTGATGCCATGTTTTAGTCTGACCGCCACACATTTTAGTAGCATGTGACTGATATTGGTGTATTGTTTATAGGTACATATGTAGTTTCTCTTCGGGTCAATAGCAGATAGATGGTTGATTCTTTTCACTAGTCCTTTGCTGCAGATGTGGATTATTATTTAACACCTAATCATTTCGTCAAGTTTCTTTTAGTTTATTCAATTGAAATATTACTGCTACAATTAACCATGAGTACTTGCATTCAGATTAGTTTAAGAACACTCCGCTGACACACCATTTGTCTACATTTCCTAGAATGCCACTCCTCAACGGTGCCCACCCATGACCCCACCTGTGATCGAATACAGGATGTTTAGGCTCTGCGACAAGTAAGTTACCATTGAACCAGTTGGTCAGAATCCATTGGTCCACATTTTCCTACTTCTGTCAGTTCGAGATGTACGACGACCTCCATCGAATAACATCGTCAAGTATCTGTTCTCATATCCGAATGTTGTCAATCAATAAATCCCTATCAACCTCCATAATGAATTATTACCATCTAATTATTGTCAATAATTGAATAATTACTTCTTATCAATCAAAGTTGTCAATTCTATGACAATATGTTACAACTTTCAAATGTTTTCATTCTATTGTTTAAATCTAATATCTTAGTTTGATCAATTAGCACTACTTTATGTTAATATTGACAATCGATTATCTGAATAGCTTTATTCACTAAAAGACTGAGATGTGTATTTCATCCCCCCCCCCCCCCACCACCACCACCAGTATAAAAATTGCTATTCTCAACAGATAATAATGCTTAGCATATAAAAATCGACACGTTTAACTGTAGACAATAGAGTTGTTACTCATTGGTATGTCATGGGTTTGAACCCCGCTTCACTTACCAAGGTTTAGGTAGTAAGTATCATTGGCCCTCAGACAATAGGCGTAACTCACTGCTAACCTGCACAAGATTGTTGAGTGGATTTTGGTTTGATTGTACCTATAAAAATTACCAATTGAAAGTGTATTTTTTTTGTACTATAACACTAACAGCATGTTATTTTCTAATGAATTCCTCCAGCAGAATTTAGTCTTCATGTACACGTGTTCATATAAGCTACTTGAAGGATATTGATAAAATAAGTTCCTACTTACTACTGAAAACAATATTAGTACATTGACTGAAGACGGTGAAAATTTCCACTTATTGATCAGTTTATGTTGAAAACTGCTTTGGAATTAATCAGTCCTCATCAATCAACGACTGATTTGTTTTGAGAGGGATTTCCCGAAATTCTAATTAGAAACCATACTTTGGGGGGGGGGAGTCAGCATAGTTGGATATCATGGCAACTACTCACTGATGACATCGGATCATAGTTATACTGCTTTGTGAATTGATATGAGTAGAAGAATGCAGACTATTGGAGTCCAACCTAGCATCTAAATGATAACATGTTCACCATTATGAAACTTGACGGTCCTTTGCCTCAATTCCTCTCGAGGCTCTATACTGAGGAGTCCCAAACTAAGACGAAACACTTTCGAAGTGTTCTTGAGTTTTTGATGCTTCTCCTCTTCATGTCTATCTACGATGAAGACTGCTTTAAAAAATTTCAGCCTGTTAACAGTTATCCAGTAGTAGTAACAGTAGCAGCATATGCATGTAAAAATGGGCTTCATTGGTTCGAGTATTTGACTGTTAGACAATTGATCGCAAGTTTAAATACCGGAGAATTACGCTTCTGTCCAGGTGATAGACAGTATATATTTACATGGTTAACATCTGAGTAAATAAACCTTATGCCAGGTTGTGAATTGCGTAATACTTGTAACATGCTTGGTTCTTCTCAGTCTATTGATTTGCTTATCTTTTCTGCCAGCATATACACATACGTGTTTCATGCAGACAAACAGACAAAATCAACATAAAATCTCGCATACAAGTGCATCGATTCAAGTTGCCACACTTCATGGTAGTACACAAAGAACAGGTAGATAGATATCAAAGTATTTATACTGGGTGATGATTGATGGTGATATGAAAATCTGGAGTGGACCACGGCGGGATTCGGACCAGCGACTACTGGGTTAACAGCCCGGTGCTCTACCAACTGAGCTACGAGGTCCGACTGCTAACCAGAATTCTATTTCACTTCAACCACGAAAGGTTTTGCCTGACTACTATGTGATTCGTGACCTTCACTTTCGATCATCACCCAGTATAAATACTAGTCTACCAAACCACAGCTATCTCAGATAGTCAAATGATATCAAAGTAGACAAATTTGTATGAAAATAAAAGTTAGTACAAATCCTGAAGCTTTAGATGTCAAGAATTTAATACATCTGTGCCATTGTGACCGACTTTCAGACATATCACTAAGATCCCTTAACGACTTATTCCCATCGTCTCGGGGATTGTAACCAGGCAGTCTACATCTTCCGACACGGCTCACATCAAGAGTAAGAGACTTCATCGATTGGTATCACTTCTTGGTCTGGCCACCTTGGTTTCTCTTCCAACCTTTTTCCAATTTCTTTAGTATTCCACGTCGAGGTAGGCGGTGGCTCTACAAGCGCCGTAGTACATGTCCAAGTCATCTCAGTCGACTAAAGTTCTCCACCTTATCAATCGACTTGCCTAGTACCCTTCTTTTGACTAAGAAATCCTGTAACCACTGCATGTCTTCTACTTTCAACAGTCATACCTCGCAGCCGTATAACAGGGCAGAAAGGACTGCGGTTCATCCATCCGAATCAACATAGAACCAGGCATTACTGCGTAACGGTCCGAGTTGCCATACCTCATATCAGTACATCAGTATAGCGTCGTTAACATGAGGATAATGTGTGTATATACGTCTGCGCCACTCACATCGGTTCTGTCCCATATCACTTAGAGTCAGTTTGCATCCATTAGTTCCTCTTGTCCCGTGGACCCAAACTCGCTAGCCTGTATCGCCCACATGAGTTAAATCAACAGTCAAAGACTTCAAATATTGATGCCATGTTTTAGTTTGGTCACCTCGGATCTTTTTTCAGCCTAGAGTGTGGTACAATTTACTCGTTCTTCAATCGATAAATAGTTAGATTACTCACCATTCGATGCTACAGATGACGAAAGTATTTTGTGTCTCATCATATTTTAAAATTTGATTTTAGTAGTCAGTTGAATTGTGCACATAGAGAAGAATTTTGATTTTATGGACTATAAAAAAATTGCTTATAAGTAATCAACTCCAATAACTATCAAATTAGTCTTCTTAAATATGCTTATATAGGCTAGACAGATTAAAGTCTACTGATGGATTGATCTGAACTTGAGTTCACCGGTCATGGTTGAAGAAAAAACCAGCAGACAACTGATAGTTTAAAATCTTAATGAAACTGTATAACTCAACAATTTCTGTATTGATATGTCAACTTTCAGTTTAAACATTTACTGAATTCATCTTCATTTGTTTTAGTTTATATTGAGAAATACAACTATTATTTATTGAAAAAAAAAATTCACTTCAGAAAGTACAAAAACCTCACATACACTTCATCATATTAAACAGCGTAATGAGAAGATGAAGATTATCTGAAACATGTGATGTATTAGCGCTATACATTTCGAACAATCTGATTACACATGGACTTGTCTAACTGTTTATATGAAAATTTACGAAAAGGTCAATGAAGTTAATGGGAAACATAGGAATAGGAAGGGATAGGAAAAGAAAAACCTTATTCTTGGTATGAAAATTAAAATCAATACTACTAAGGTAGGTTCAACGTGAGTACAAATTGTTTTTGTATACATAAAGGGGGTTTAAATTTACATATTTCAATTTACATATACTAGAAACTAACCATAGGATAGACATGAAAACAGCCTTTAAAGTACTACATAAAAGTGGTCAGAGCCGAGTGCTTAAATTTATTGAAGCTCTTGCCATCCGTAAATTTAAATCCCCTTTATGTATACAAAAACAATTTGTACTCACGTTGAACCTACCTTAGTAGTATTGATTTTAATTTTCATACCAAGAATAAGGTTTTTTTTTCCTTTTCTATCCCTTCCTATTCCTATGTTTCCCATTAACTTCATTGAACTTTTCGTAAATTTTCATATAAATAGTTCGACAAGTCCATGTGTGATCAGATTGTTCGAAATGTATAGCGCTAATACATCACATATTTCAGATAATCTTCATCTTCTCATTACGCTGTTTAAATTTATCAAAGGGACCAGTTGCTTTAAACTTCATCATATTGTTTTGGAAATTTTTAAGGTTTATAGAAATTAAAATTTACTTAATCTATAAGGTTACCACTGAACTTCTTAGCTGTTACTTAAAAATCTTGTACATATTTGTGTAGTAGATAATAAGCTACACCTATTCATACTACCCAGTTCAATTTTAATCTGTTTATTAGAATTGAAACAGTATTAATTTACCTGGATTAACATTTCGATCATAATCTATTGTCTAGATTCATATTAGGGGGGGGGGGGAACTCTACAACTTTGAGACAATGAGTTCAATAATTCTGATACTTTCGACACATTTTTCTTATGACAAGGATAATAGAATTTTTTTATACATCTGAAACAGGTACTAAGTTATTTCTATTACTGCATGTATTTGGTATTCAATGATTCAATGAAAAAAGATTCGGTTATCCAACCTCTATCTCCATCCAACTTGATTAGTTTTCGTTCAATTAGTTCCTTTAATGAATTTGCATAATGTCATAAGAAGACGGAGATTATTTCTGAGAAATATGATGTATTCGTTCAAATGGGGTTTCGAACAATCTGATCATATATTTACTTGTTAAAGCATTTTATATGAAGGGTGGGTTAAGGCAAATTAATATAATACAAGATATAGAAAATACACGGACAATAGGGAGGAATAATACACTTTTAAACCTTCCCTTGGTATTAAAATGAGATGAAGATTACCAAGGTAGGTTTAAGGTAAGGGAAAACTGTTTTTGAATACATAAAGTGGGGTTGAATAAACCAAAGTATACGGTCTTGACAAACTTCTATGTACTGGTCTAAAGGGTGTTTTTGGGTCGATCTTGTGACCTGTTTCTATAATATGTTTACTAGTAAAACGCTGAAGCCTCGCTCTCCTATGTATTTATCAGATTATCTTATTATTATTTGTCCCTTGGGTTCCTAGTGGAACATAGGGCTTCAGTAGCACGTCTCCATTGCACTCTCTTCTCTGCAGTCTTTTCAACCTGGCTCCACGACTGTCCATAAGCTTTCATTTCTTCCTCACACAATCTCCATGTCACCCTAACTACTTAGGGATATGCTTCGATTCGTTTATCAAAAATCCCTTGCAGTGATCGCGAGGTTAAATACATAGGTCAAAGTAGTTGACCAGGTTCAATCAGAATAACAGAATAGAAAAACTTACCTAAATAAAGACTACTAAATCCTAATAAGATAAGGGATTTAGAGAAAGGCTGGGTTGTAAGTATGCACGCAATTATACACAATAGATTAGGATAGATTGACAGTATTAAAAGCTAACTTAGTTGGATGGAGAGATCGATAGTCGAATCTTTGTTCATTGAATCAACACCAAATACAATCAACAGGAATGACTCAGCGCCTGTTTCAGATAGATGAGAAATTCTATTACCTTTATCATCACAAAGAAAGAGAAACGATTAGAACTATATAACCTAAGTCTCAAAGTTGTAGAGTCACTTGATATGAATTATGTCTGAAACTTTATCCTGGAAGAATAAAAATGTGACAATTCTAGTAAACAGACTAACATGCGAATACAATCTATCACAGTGCTTAAGTTTTACTTCTATATACTTCATGCCTCCCTGTCCGTCGATAGATGAAGTGGTGTTCGAACTTGTGATCAACTGACTGAAAGTTAACTCCCTAAATCAATGAGCCACAACCCCATTCGGCTGGGTTGAAATTCAGATGTACATGATTCTACGGTTTTTCACCTTATTACCCTATCGAGCTATACTCTAATTTACGTATCGAGATGCTCAAATGTGAGTCATTAAGCTGCGATTTACCATAGTCGGATGAATAGATCTGTGTTAGTTTCGTATTTGTTGGCACTCATCAGCCTCAGAAATGAACCGAAAAATGTGTATAGAATAATTGTCTATACTTATGCAAGTTGTAAAGTATAATAACAACAATAACGCTGAGAGCACTTTTCTTCATACAATATCTACCATCAATAGTCAAACAGTTGATACTTGATTTTCAATTATAGGCTAATCATCTCAAAATCTTCTAAAATATATACCAGTTAGTTTGTTTAACTTCAATTCTCATACCATATCATACTGAATCTATGCCTAATTACTTCATTTTTCTTTCACCTCTCTAATTTCTATTATTGTTACATAGTTGATTCAACCAACTCTACTGACTATTATGTTAGCCAAAAGTCAACTTATCCTCCTGTTCCACCGTGTCGACCAGTTCGTCGTGTTATCAATTGGCCACCACCTCCACGAATCGATCCAATCACAGTAACTGAATCGTATTGTTCATGAATTCAATTTTCTTTTAATTACTCTTCCATTTGTGAATTCTAGACAAAAATTCTAATAATGATAATGATGATGGTAACTTTGTACACAGTTTAGCGTTTATTTCTTTCTATTTATTGTTTTCCAAGTTCAACAATTTATCTTGCTCTTATCACCTCAGAGGAATATTATGTTTTACAATAGTAGTACATATATTCAGCTTTTGTTTTCATCAATCTTACCTACTGGAATGAAGTGAATGTAAGAGAGCAGGTGTTAGAAAGAAGGTTGGTTGTTTTCACACGAATTCATTTTTTCCTTTTTTTTATATGAATTTATAGTGAAAATTGTTGTGTTCATTCTCTCATTCCCTTAAATAGATTAACAAATCGAAATAACTTAGATATACGTCTATATATGTATATACACCGGCTTTATATGATTGTTTCTTGTTGTGTTGCCTAACCTCATATGGTGGTGTTCTCTTTTTCGCCTATGCTTTCATTTTCTGTGTTCAAGCACAGATAAACTAATCATCAGCTGTTTTAAAAACTTTCTGTTTTATATTCAAGTATAAATTGATCAACTAACTAGCTTTATCTTTTGCTTCTCATATTTTTGCTATTCTTAATATCGACTTACCATGAGTGCAGTTCGGTTAATTTCTGTTTTCGTTCTTATGCCTAAATTAACTTTCATGATTATTATTCAGCTGTTATCTTTTTCACCAGATGGTATTTTCTGCTCTGATTCTGTTTTTTAATATTTGATAATAAAACATACAACGTATGACAGACATACTACCACCGGCGTAGTTGTACGGACATGTATACAATATAGTTTGTCTTAACACTTTTCTATATGTTGCATGTCTATGCGACCACCTGTCTATTAGTCTACATTTCCTTTTTCCTGATTGGCTCATTTTTGTTATTGCGATATATAAACATCCATCCACATAGCGTTTTATGTTTAGGACAAACAATGTAGAAGACTAAAAGAGACATTGAAATTTGAGCAGAAAAATGTTCATCACTTGAAATGAAACGTAGAGAGAGAGAGAAAGAGAAAAACACGTGACAAGTGAGGCATTTTATAGGATGTTTTTATTTATTTAAAAGTCCATTAGTATGCAGAAAACATATCATTCTATTGCAATTGTTCTCTAGTTTGTTTCTGCATCATAGGACATTTAAGTTGTGAAATTTTGTGATTTGTCTAAAAAAGAAGGTGATTAAAAATCAATTATGTTAGTGTTTGTTATTGCTATTATACAATAGGCTATAAAGTGATCTTGTTCACTACCATTGTAGTGTGTAGGAATGTTTACTACCTGCATATTTACTCGACTCACTCTGCTGTGTATTTCAAGATTTACACTAATCATCCATCTAGAATCACTGTGATTCATTATTTGTAACACAAATATTATCCCAGGAGGTGGAAACTTTGAAATGTTCGGTACAGGTTGAATATCTGTGCCTATCTTCATGTAATCCCACTCAAATAATGCAAAGTAAACGGTCTACAGAAATTATCGATATCACTGAAGCAATTTTGTGCAGTAAATGAAAGAGTTTTACAAGCACAACAAAGTTCATAATACTATTATCAACGTATTATATGCTTTTGACTGCAGAAATGTGGAGAAATTGGGCAGAGGAAGTGTTTGACTATTGGTTTGAGCCTTGTAGGAAAGTGCAGGGTTTTCGGTTGGGATCTGTGTGACATTCGTAATAGATGGTCGCATAGTTTAAATGATATGGTAGAGGGTCGATCTCAGTGATGTAACTCCATATATACATTATCTTCATTTTAAACGTCAAGTCTCCTCCACCTTGGTGCCTTCTATCTTGATGTTAAGACGTTTTAGCAGCTAATCCAAACGAGATCCTGCTTAAGTTAGGATTTCTAGTTGGTAGTACTCATCATCTTTAGGTTGCTCATGTTTTCTTGGAGATTGGGGTCGGTGCCACTTAGTGCAAAAGTTAGGGATTTTGAATTAAGTTGATATTCATCATGGACTGACATCAATTGGAGGAACATATGAAACCTGAAAGCACTAAACAGTTGTTTCGTCCTAGTATAGGACTTCTCGGTAGTGCAAATCCATGACCACACCACCAGGGGTCGAACCCAGGACCTTCGAGTTCCATGGCCAGCACGTTACCACTGAGTCGGAATACAAGGTCCAAGTTTCCTAATTTTATCAGTTCGCGATATAGCGCGACCGCTACCCAATTTTGTCGTTGAGTATTTGTCCTCATGGCTGCCAGGTTTGCCCCACCGGTCACGACTTTTCATCGGAACTTCAGGAATCAACTCTCGAAGTTAATCATCAGTGAGCGCTAGAGCAATTGAATTTGGAGGTTTGTGGGGATTTAGTGATTTTTCAAGTTGGCATTTATCATGGACTGACAGCAGTTGGGGCAAACCTGATGGCTGTGAGGACAAATACTTAACGATGACATCAGGTGATGGTCACGCTATGTCGAGAACGGACAGAAGTAGGGAATACGGACCACTGGATCCCGATCCAGTGTCTCAATGATATAACGTGCTGGCTACGAAACCTGGAAGTCCCAGATCCAACCCGTGGCGGGGCAAGGTGATGGATGCGCAGTGCTGAGGAGTCTGATATTAGGAAAAAACAGCTGTCCAGTTTCTTAATGTTCCTCTAACTGATGTCAGTTCATAATGAATACCAACTTGAAAAATATCTAGATCCTCCCAAATTCAAAGATAAATCAAGCAAACAGAATTATAATTAAAAAAGATAGCGAGTGCTTCAATAAATCTAAGTATTTGTCATTGACCGTATCGATACAGTATAGTAAAGGCTGTCTTCATATCAGTCTTATCGAAATGTATAACGCTGATATATCTATCACATGTTTTGAATAATCTCAGTCTTCTCATTACGTTGTTTAAATTTATTAAAGGGACTAATTGTTTCAAGGTTCTAAAAATTAACCGTCAATTTGACTTATCACTTTTCGTTTGAATTACAAATTTCTCACTATGTAGCTCCCCCCCCCCCCATTACAGGCATAATTAGCTAAGTGTCATTATATGCATCTCTTACTAGCGGTAAACTTGAAAAGATCGCAGACATCAATTTGAGCAGAATAACATTCCTGAGTTTTTCATCACCCGCTTACAACAAGATAGTGGCAGATATATTTATGAATAGTTGAGAACAGATATACATCAAAGGAGATTTATTCCTGCCGCTAAATTATGATAGAGATATGTAGACGGGATATTTCACATCAGAATATGTCGATGAGTTTTTCACACACTAATTCAGTTATAGATACGACCTAGTTTACCTACGAATTAGTAATGTTGGATTACAGAATCAAAAGAAGACAAGTTGGGGATATTTAGAATTTAGGCTATCTCACTCTATACTAATGAAAATAGATTGAATAAAGTGCTTAAATAATACATTTAAAGGAAACCTTTAGTGCTCAGTATTTATCGTCATGAAGTGATCCAGTAATAAACAAGACATTTTAAGAGAAAGATGATTAACGCAGAAACACAATATACATATCTGTAAGTACACGTGTATACATAATTAAAATTGACTGAACAGCATAGAAACTCTTGGGTTGTGTTGAGTACCAGAGTGTTTAGAGTGTAAAAACCTAATCCATCTTGTGCAGGTTGTAATGATTTTTATATTTCAATCAGTACATCATGGGTTCGATCCCCAATTCAACTGTCGAGATTTGGACAGGCAGATATTATCATTGTAAGTTGCTTGTAGGTAATCAGCAGGTTTCATGTTTTTTGGTAGCCATCAGCAAGGAGGAGCTGGTGTTTCCTATGAGATTCGAACTCGTGTCATCTAGTGCCTGCAGTCGGAGATGTTACCATTAAGGTATTTTGGCTGTGATTCACCTCCTTTAGGACTGGATTGGATACATTGTTTAGTCACTGGAGGGTAACCAATTTTATGTTGTTGAGTCCTAATTGTTGACCAAATTATATCCATCATTTCACAATGTGACCACTATTTGTCATAGTACAACATTATTGTGAGCCGCTTAGCAGGATGGCCAGTGGACTTAGAGATCACCGGGCTTGTAACACAAAGATCTCTGATTTGGGTCCTACTTCGGGAGAAATTTTCATTTCGCCTTGGATCATCACCCTGTATTAATGGACTTCAGTAGTATGTATTAACTATAGATAGCTGGAAGTTGAAGTAAATCTAATTGCACGCTAAGCTCATATCTACATACCGTGTACGACAGTCGGTGATACTTTCTATTAGCCTAAACCTTGATTAGTTGACTGGACCTTGAATGTGTGATACACCCAATCGGAGATAAAACATAAGAAACACGATCAATAAGTAAATGTTTCCAAGGTCATTTCATTAACATTATAAGTAATCAACCATTCTTGAGTATCACTTAAATGTTGAACATCTGAGTAATTTAAAATCTCATGATGTATATTCCACCCGTTTCATAAATAATGAAATGATAATTAGTGGCCAGTTTATTCAAACTGGTAGAATAATCATATTTAACAGTTGTGTACTTGTTAGTTTCAATAAATACACGTTTCAAGTAGATTAGTTTGAATTCATTGAACTACTTTTATAGGACAATGTCATTTAACGGCTGTAACTCAGTTTTACTGACGTCACTTCTCACTGGTTTATTGTAATCAATCGGATTATTAAGTAACTTCATTTAACTGTTATCTTAGCTGATCACCTCACCCTCATCTCCTCATTTTGTTCCCCCAAAAGATATTATCATTATAATAATTGAATCGAAATGCCCTCAATTATCACATGCAATAGGCAAGAAGTCACATCCATCTGGCTGCTAAGAATTCAGTAGGTGAGGCGGGAGTCGAACCTTAAACCCACTGGTTAAAAGTCGAATGCCTAGATTAATGAGTCACACCAACACATACTATCATCATTTTCAGACAGTTAATCCTCCTTTAACTGTAATACGTTTAACCGTACTCAATGGAAATTAAAACAAACAGACTATTAGAGTTTACGAAAATGGAAGACTAATGCTATTTGTGGTATACTTTACCTTTCTATCCAGTATTAAATTATAAGGCACCCTTTCGAATGATATTATAAAAGGGTTCATATACTGGTGTTAGATGGTGGCTAGTAATGGGATCTAAGACACGAGTTTCTCCCTATTTGTGACTCGTCAGGTTGAATTCACTTGTCCATAATGGGAACAACATCATGCGCTAGTGGGCTGATGAGTCCAAGATAGGACGAAACACGCATCCTGGAATTCACCGCTAGTCACTACTCATCAACAATATCAAAGTTGAAAATATCGAGGCATCCTCAAAATAGCCTATATGTCAATAGTTGCTAACCAATTCGTCCCAACCAACAAATGGAAACTTATAAACAATAATATCAAGACGTCATCTGTCATTTCTTATCATGTTGTACTTTGGTTAACAAGTTATACAGAAATGCTGACAAGATGTTTGCAGTAAGAACTCAGATGATACTGGACAATTGTCATCGACATCTGAAGATGGCTTAAGTTATCTTACTATTCACGTAAAACATGCTCTCATCACTTGATGACGGTCTTGACGACTTCTATATACTGGTTTAAAGGGTGTTTTAGGGTCAATCTTGTGACCTGTTTCGATAATATGTTTACCTGTCGAGGATGATGTCCATCTTCCCCCTGTATTTATCAAATTAGTTGAATATAATTATTTTTCTAACCATTTAGGGATATATTCCACCGCCCTCGACTTCATAGTTCGATTACTCCTCCCGATGTGCGTAGTAATTATGAAGAAATCTAGCCTATGCTCTCTATGCATGAATATAATAACACGAATTTGACTAAAAGCCAACTAAACATAGAGATCAATACTCATTCATATTTCATCATATTTACACTTCAAACGATTGTCAGATACCTACTATCTAACAACAATAAGAAAAGCATAAATGAAACTTAATCTTCATTACTGGATATATACATCACATTGGAAACCGCATCTACTTTGTGAAGTGTATTGGAAGGAGAAGTTGACTATCTGAATTACTAGATTGTATAGATAAATAAAATACTACAATATTGAAACAGTTCGTGTTGTGGGTAAACAGAGACTCAATCAAATGGAATAGAAATCAGTCTAGTGTATTAACTGTTCAATGAAGTCAATATGGATCGAACAATTACGAAATAAGGCGATAAAACCCAGAGATGAATGATTCATTTACA